TATATTATAATACATTAGTAGACCGACCGCGCAGTGAAAATAAAACACTATATACCTACATTATATTTTACCTTACTGTATAATTATATTATATAATATTTACACATGAGTTTTTAACAAACAGTTTAAAAAATGTATACCTATTATATGTACGTGTGTATATTAATATATACACAAACCGCATCAACAATACGATAAAAATAAACCCAGGCATAATTACGATTAAAATACACAGAAGTATTTATACATACATATAAAGGCAGGTAAGGAAAATAATTTAATATTATACGAGGTCACGTAACCTTTCCACAAAGGTTAATTTGAAAAAATGCCTATTATGTACATATACATTTACTTGCGTGTATATATTATATATATATTGCTATATACAGAGACGCGTATCGCTGTGCGTCCCCCTTAAACCCCCTTGGTCTGGGCACTCGACCAAAAAGAAATAATAAAAATAATATATTGCTTAATATATAGAATTTAAAAAAAAATTATTTTGAAATTGTAATTAACTACGATATATAATAAAATCATACACTATAAAAAAACTAAAAATTATTATTTTAACTGTGTGTTTCAGTATTTCAATTGTGAGCTATAAGAAAAATCAATCAAAGTTATAAAATTATCTATGATTGTCTCTGCACAAGTAAATATACAATTACAATATATTGTATACATCATAAATTTGATATTTATTTTTTATTTTATACATAAAATTAAAAAAATTATTTATTAAGATATCATATTTAATTTATAAACCTATATTATAAGTTTCAAATATATCAAATGAGTAATAATTGTACACAGTTTCATAGTTATAATATTATGTCAGCTATTGAGATACTTTATTAAATAATATAGGTAGGTACTTTTACTGTGTGTAAATAATGAAAAAAGCTTTGTATTTTTTTTTTAAAGTTATATATTAATTTCATTAATCATTATTTATTCCGGTTTATACTTTTGTTTTTCAAAATAATGTTTTTACATAGTTTGTAATAAATATAACAACACGATTTTTTTTTATATGTATTATTTTTTATAATTCTTCTCATTTTTTTTTATGACCATACCTATAATTTTATAACCTATAAACAGAATCCTTTTATAAAAATGTTGACAAGCAAACATCATGTGTTGAACAAATTATATGTTTTATTAACACAATACACACATAACTAAAAACGTTTAAAAAAATATTCATCCAATATACCTACGAGTACATGCAATATGTACAAATATTTTGCACTCGTATAATCAAATGTAAAAAAAAATGTAGGCCACCAAATTAAAGTTTTATAAGTACACAATTAAAAACCTAAAAATTCACTACTATTATAATATATTGCAAAAAATTAAATAGTTTGAAAAAAAATATGTTATAATAATAATATTTTCAAATATGTAACGTATAAAAAATCGTTGAAAAATTTCACAAGAATTGACAGAGTTTAATAAGTGAATCGCATTAAATAAACAATTCCATACAAACATATAATATGTATACATTATATTATTCTAGGTACATATTATATATAGCATGAAAAGTGTATATACCTATACGTCTTTGATATATTATATCATCCATAATCGTACGTGGTGATTTTGTTGAAGCTGCGCTGGCGCGGCGGCGGTCGCATCCCTGTTGGGCAAACCAACCGAAACTGATCGATCCAATCACAGCATCCGGGAGAGACGATCGTCCGCCTACGGAGCCAACCGGAAACAAAATGGCGTCACCGACCGCACGGATTTCATAATATATATAATATAATAAGTAATAAATAAATAACATCATATTATACTTGTGTGATTACAGTATATTATTATATAAATCACACGGTTCATTGTCATATCGTTCTCATCATCCCACCAGATAGTCGTATACCTGGGTCTTTACTATATTTACACCTTATTATACTTATATTTTATTATTTATATTGGTATAAACGTGCATTGCAATAATATATCGTAGATATAAAACACACGCAATCTACAGATCATACTCGTATATTAATATAATTTAATATAAGCCCATAAGCGTTCGTATATAACTTAATCATATACACATAAAATGTTAATATCGTCAAAAGTTTTGATTTGAGATATATTAATGTATATAATATAGGTATATGTATCTACCTATATTTACATATATATGCCAAAATCTCCAACAATCAATCTTCTAACTATGGGTTAAATACAAAATTGATAATTATTCCAAAAATTATACAAACTGTCAATATTTTAATTAGATCTAAAATGTCATTGTTATATATAATAATCCAGCTATTACACATCATTCATTATATGGCTGCCTAAATATTATTATTGTAGAGTAAACAGAATTGATTTAAATTTTACGTGATTTTACTGACACGGGGTTGACTACACTATGTTAATTATATAAAATATAGTCATAGAATTTGGAGAATGATAAAAACAACTCAATATTGTAATGTAGTATAGGTATAATTTAAGGAATAGGAACAAACTGAAAGGGGCTGTAATATTTATACAGTATCCCTCAAAAAATTTTTAAGCATCCCTTTAAACACCAAATTTAGTGTATCAGTAAAGTTTATAGTATATAGGTATAGTATAGGACTATAGGTACGCATACCTATAATCGCCTAATACAGCATCCTAATACAGCATCCGTTTGTGGTTATAGCTTCTGGTGTTATTTTTGCGCCTCCGATTCGTATATATAATTTAATATACGTATTTAATATCCTGAACGCATACGTAAATGCACGTGACTTACGCACGTATACTTACAACAGTATAAAATATTATATGCATATACCTTCATAATTTATATTGTATACACACAACAAGCCACATGATGGTATAATAATATGTATATAAATATCTTATGACTATGAGCAACTGTTTCAGTGTATAAACGGTATACAAAGTAGTACATTTATTCGGATACAATATAACATTTTCTTAGTCAATTGAAACAAAACAAAAATGTTTTTTTTATAGCTATTGATGTATACTTATATACTATATACATTTTTTACAAAAATTAATTGTTTTTATCATTGCGGTTTATTACGGGTTTTTATTATTTTTTTCTTTCTATCAATGCTAGCGTAAATAAATACCGAATGTTGGATATATTTGATATTTTTTTCTAAAATTTTAATAAGTAGAGTAGTGGATCACACCTTTTGCCATTTTACTCTAATCAAAAGTTTTAACGAAAAAAAAAACATTTTATCAATACCATTAAACATCGACATTTTTAGAAAAGTAAATTCTGTGCGCTTCTGCTTTTTAAATTAAAATCATTATACGTTATGGTTTAACAAATTAAAAAACACTAAGAAATTTAAAAAAAGTAGTATTGTATAATTAATACCTTTAAAAATACAAAAATTGACTTACACTAGAAAATTTATACAGCTGGGTAAAAAGATATTACCCTATGTTTAAATAGATATTATATGTACCTATATAGGTATCTATATCGTATGTACCTACCTATATAAATTATAGGTGTTTAAATACATTTATCGTACAATATAATTAATAATGATATTATATATATAGGTAATTAATAAGTAATAACTATTATATACATAACCTATATAGTATATATCATACTTAAACCTACCAACTACATTATATATGTATATATGACGAGGTGCAGTGTGTCGGGAGATCGCAATGTATTATACATATACAGCTACCTATACATTCTATACGTATATCGTCGTGCCAGCGGCTGCGCGGGGAAAGCGCGATTAGTATTCCGTCCGGGCGCGTCGGTGATGTGAGGAAGATTTAATTCGGAGAGTTATGGATCAGACGCGTGGTTTGTTGGCCAAGCTTCCACGTCGTACAATAATGCACGCACGACGGCCACGACGACGACTCGTGATTTTTAAAAGAAAAATATAAAACTCTCTCGCCTCTCTCGTACACTAGCTACTTATATATATATATATATATATATATATCTACCTATAATATACTGTCCGGTTTGTCTGAAACACGCTCATCGATCATTCGCCTCTCTCCCAATGGTTGCAGTGTATGGGAAACGTGGTCGGCATCTCTGACGAGTATTATTGTCTTCAACTCATTTCGTTTGTGCACAGCAGTCTGCACATATTATATTATTGAGATATGTGTGTGTAAATGTGATAATAAATATTTACAGACGTCTGTAACAGCTATTTATTTTTATTTATTTTCAAAATGTATGGACCGGTAGCTCAATGGTTACAATTAAAAATACCAATGACAAATAAATAAATGCGAAAAAAAACTGTCGATAACAGATAAAAAATTCAAGATAATATAGTTATTATGGTATTAAGAACAAGAGAAAGATAGTTAATATTCTATACTGGCAAACTGTATTATCTTTGTAAGGAGTACGATTAACAGTACCTATATAATATAGTTTGTAGTGAAAATTGGAAATAAAAAAAGAATGTTATTATGCGAAGAAAAAAAGATTTTTAAAATTAATTTACACTATATTCATCAATATATTATGTATTTTATTCTGCAGTTAGTATAAACAAAGATTAGGTTGGTTAGTGAAATGATCTTTTTATGTACCTACTATTTATTTATTTGACACTTCAAGTTTAAACATGATGCAGAGTTCATTATTGTATATACAATTATAATATTACTACACAAACTACCTCAGATAAATTGCAGTATACCTATATAAATTAATCTTTTTTGAAAGAAATCATAAGCTGTAAACATTATTATAATAAGCGGCTACCCTTAACAAGAAAAAAGACAATCTAAAACTATATAGGTATATACTATACAGTATAGGTAAAAAAAGTGGTAAAACCTTTGGTTTTTATCAGATTATAAATGTTGATTTTAGTGATTTACCATGTAGAAAACAGTAATCATAGAATGCAAACAATCGCAATACTTATATAATATGTATATTATTAAGTTGTTTACCAACTATCTATTTAATACATATATATAACCTATGTATTCAGTTATTATACATTATAATACAGAGCTTGCGCTAAGAAAATTTTAGAACTGCCCAACATTTTAATATTTTTGTAGATGCAGATTAAGTAAATTTGTCGCTCGCTAAATTCGCTTAATTACCACTATTTACCAAACTATATATTGACCACACATGTAAACACTTTATACATTACTTTATTTATTATAATTTATTAATAATAATAACAAATTAAAATTTTTTTTTTTTTTTATCTTCAGTGTCTTCGCCACTATCGTCACTATTGATAATTTTGTTTTTACCAGATGCTTCAAAGAAAACTCCACTAAAATAACTTTGTTCCTTTCCTTTTCTTCTTTTGAGGACTCGATGTTTCTTTTTAGACATCCAATGGTAAACTGTGTCCCTAGGATCCCAACCGTATAATGGTGGCATATTATAATTTATATATAAGCTCAAGTTTTCTGTCTCAATATTCATAGTTGAGCGTAATGGTGATTTTAATAAGTTGCTGGCACTTATCAAACGTTCAACATCAGCACTATGAGGTTTAGCAGCTGCCACTCTTGCCAACATTGTACAAACATTTGGAAAATATTTTGAGCCACATAATGTTTTTACTAATTTAATAAGGTTCATTTTTCGTAATTCAGATATATTTTCCATTGATATCAATTCATCATACTCCAATGAAAATTCTTTTAAATCTATGTCTGCGCCAATTAAATTATGAATATCTTTGATGCATGCTACAGAAGATAGTACAACAAATGGTTTTATAATTGACAGTAAATTTTTATCAATAGAAAATCTTTGTTTTAAAAATTCTTGAAGAGAACATACAATTTCTTGTTTAACTGCTGCAAGACATCTATTTTGTGTAACAAACTTATGATGGGATTTATGACGTGGAATTTCTATACTTTTTATAGTTATTGAATTTAATGTAAGTGAACCATCTTTATTGATAACTACTTGTTTGTCTAAAGCCTCAACCCAACCTCCTATAAGTGGGGTAGACTTTAACATTTCAATTTTATTAATGATGTACATAGTTTTTTCATCCATTGAAATAACATTCAAATCATCAGATTGCAATTGTTGTTGATACCTTGAAAAAATGTATAAAACATCAGCCAGAACTGCCATAAGGCGAATGTTGTACTCATGAGTAAGAAACTTGAAATGGCCCACATGAACTTTATCTGAAGAATTTTTAAAATAATTGACTAAACAAGACCATGAAACCAGCACATTATTAAGAAGCGTATATGAAAACTGAGACCATCTAACTTCAAAAACTTTTGGAAGTTGAAGCAATTTGAGGTTATACTCAAGAGCAATATTTTTCAATTCTCGTGTCCTCAAACCAGATCTTCGAAAAAATGTAGTTAAACCAACAAGTTTTTGAAAAAGTAAACTAACTTCAGGAACCGATTCACTCACTGACTCCCATGCTAGATTTGAACGGTGTGCTGCACACCATAAAGTAATTAATGGGCTCATAACTTCAGTTCCACATGCAGTTTTTTTCAAATTTGTTAATAAGGTCCACAAGCCAGATTTTTGTCCTACATTCGAACTCGCTCCATCAGTAACTAGAGAAGATGTTTTTTTCAAAATATTGTTGAAATTTTCATTTCCAAGTCTTTTAACACATGCTGTTTTTAAAGCATCACACATACCTTTCGCACCCCTTTCAACAGGTTCTTCAGCACCAAGAAAATAAAGTTTTTCTTCTCCTTCTAGTGTAATAGATTTCATCAACACATACATTTTATCGATTTGAGTTCGGTCAACACTTCCATCACAGCGCAAAGACAATGCGAGTGAATTATTAAGAATATCTTCCACAAAAGATGACTGATGAGTTTCTACAATACATTCTAGAAGGTCTTTATGAGTGTGTGGTGTTAGATACTGAAGTTCACTATCATCAATATTATTTGATACTTCACCATTTAATTGAAACAAATTTGCTTTTTGTGATACAATAACCCGGCTGGGAAAAGAATAAGCAGATAGTGTAAGTTTCTTAGCATCATTATAAACATGAATCATAAGACAGCCAATTTTCCTCGCCAATTTGTCATTTGCTTGATTGACTGCTTTTCCCATTGGAGTTATGGCCATTTTTTCAGAAGTATTTAAAGTTTTATACTTATGTACCTTAATCGCTTCTATGTGATATGTGGTAGACAGATGGTCATTTAATACTTTCAGAAGATATTTAGTTCCATACTCTTGAGCGATTGCAGGAACTTTAGATTTATTATTACTATATCGCTTTACTATGTCTTGTTCTGCATAACATGGCTCACAACGAATCAAATGTTTTCCTTTAAAATGAAAATGTTTAATGCAACTACTGTCTGAAATAAGTATTACTTTTATTAGTTTTGGTTATTAAATACATTTAAAATATTATAAAAACATTCTAAACAATATTTACCATTCACTAAAGTTGTGTTCTTTTGTTGAATCTCACTAATCTCAGTATTTATGGTGTTATCCAAGCTGTTTACTGAAGTGCTATTGCCGCTTGTGGTGTTAATTAAGTTATCTACTAAATTATCTATTATCAGGTAAAAATCTATTATTTATTTAACATTTTAATTTAACATACCTATGTTAAGATCAGTATTTTTACTTTTATAAAGCCATTTTTTCATAAGACCAGAACTGCTTTTTGGGGCTAATTTTTTATTCTAAAATTCAAGTTTTGAAATATTGATTAATTTATAATAAAACATTAAAACATTTAAATAAAATTGTGCGCTTAATTTTAATAACAGCCATTCATGCAAACAGCATCATTTAAACTTGAACCGAAAAAATATGCCAATATTTAACAATAAAAGCAGAGAAGAAATAATTATATAAATAATTAAGCTATTTAATCAACTTATATAAGCAAACTAAGATAATGCAAGCTTAAATTGGGTGCTATGGATACATATATACCATAGTACATACTGAATGTAGGAAGTACTTTATTCTTCAATATTATTTAAATATGATAAATAATATTGAAGCCTTTGGTGACGGTCCACATGTCAAATTATATCCTTGTAATAGTAATAATATGGTGACATTTGCTGGATAAGAATAAAAAAAAATGTGTTTACTTTATATTTATAAATTATAATATGTTAGTATGTACCATTTAAATAATTAAATAGGTAGGTATACTATATAGTAAGTTAGTATTACTGTATTAGTGTTTTACCTTTTTTAAATCCATGTTCGCTACGCACGTCACTTTCACTTGGTCACTTCTTCGTCTAAGTAATTAGTAAAATAAACATAAAACATGACGAATTTAATGGTCACATTATTATCACTTTCTGTATTGCATCGTGTTATCATATAGATTACACAATCTTCTATGTGTATATGATAATAAATGTTATGGAATGGATTGATAACATTTGTGTAAAAAATATTAAATAAAATACATACCTACTTAAATTAAACAATATTACATATTCCAATAATACAGAAAATTCACGATTTTTGGTACTGACCAAATTGGTTTTTAGAGTTGCCCATTTCAATTTAGAACTACCCACATTGGTTAGAACTACCCATTAGCGCAAGCTCTGTTATAATATATTATACGTATCGCTCGTCATGGTTCAAATTTATCTGGCGGAAAAGTTGCTATAGAAATACCCATGAGATAGGTTATATAACGACGTGTGTGTATATAACATAAAATATATAATCACAACTCGCTACGATGTGATCCGAGGACAAGCGTTTTTATTTAATAATATCAGCTGCTCGCCTATCTCTGTAAATATAAATATAATTCGAGACTTATCACTGTTGTAAAGATACATTATATATATATATATATACGTATATGTTATGTTTTATTTTCAATTAAGATATTCATAGCCGAGTAATCGTAAAACACAATTTTATACTTGGCTGGTCATGCCTATAAACGCGCGCGCAGGTACATTTAAAAAATTATAGTCTGGCATTTTATTCGCTGTCATTGTCACTACCTATAGTAATATATTTATAATACAGTCTATGCGTTATCATTATTCAGGCATAGTGTATGATAAAATTCTGTGGAGCATAAATAATAATAATGTTATATTTATTACTGCAGTCCTATAGAGAAACGTACCATACAATTTTATCATATAAAAATAACAGTTATATACAGTATATATATATATATATCAAAGTATATGAATTATGTATATAAAACTAAATTTAACTATCGGTAAAAATTTCAAGTCTCAAAAATTATACACAGTTTTTAGAATTATTACTATACAATGTATAGTATACACATATAATCAGAACTTTTTTTTAAATTGTAAAATTGATTATTTTAACGAATTACCCAAATCAAGTAAATTCTTTCTATGATAAAATAGAAATTTATACCACGCTTATTAAATAAACCCTAAAAAAATAAAATATTAATACACTTGTTACATATTACCTATTAATCAATAAATAAATTCGCTTCCGAAATATTATTGAAATATACTTTTGAAATTTAAATGTATTCCATTATATCAATATTATCACTGTGCCGATAGATAAGTGAAGTGGACCTCAGTGTTATTTATTTATCTTGATGGAAATAGTAATAAAGTAAATAATAGTTTTTGTAAATAATTAGCTATTATGGAATAAGTATTATTTATACAACATGAAAATAAATGTTTTAATTTTCAGTTAAGGTAAGCCAAAAATAATAAAATCATTATAACTGTAGTAATTTTTTATACCAATTACAATTTACACCTAACATAGCTTATTTATTTTTCAAATTAAAAAATGAGTTATAAATGGCAAGACATTCTGCACACAATAATACAATAATGTAATAATATTATAATTTATCATGGAAATTGAAACTAGTTTGTAATGTTAGTTTTAATCATTGTAAATTGTAATATGTTTTATATGAATAAAAAGGTAAGGTTTTGAAATTATTAATTACAACATAATATGTATTACTTATTTGATCAATCTATACCATATGATATATCTATGTCCTATGTAGAATAGATTTTGATGTAAACAAAGAAATGAAATAAGAACAGTAAACATACAGAGTGATTTACCAACCATGTTCACCCCTATATAATTCGATGTAATAATTAATATTCAGATTAAGGTTTTTAAAATTTTTAAAGTAACTTAAGGCATTAATTTTTGAATATTAAAATGTTTTAATATTAAAAATATTACGATTGATAACAAAATGTTCTTAATAAAATGAGAATTACTTTATTTCGTGCAAATCTTTAAATAGATGACTTTTTAGTTTTTAGAAATATGTTGATGCATATAAATCGAATTCGAACTAGTGATTTTTGAATCGTTAACATTTCGTTAGGAGTAAGGAGCAAGTAAACAATAGATCCGTGATGATACGTATGAGAACTATGGAGACAATGATTATTTGAAATCATGTACTTAATAATAATTCATAGGAAAAAATAGATGACTTTCGCGTTTGAAAAAAAGAAGTTTCTATCGCCACAGAGTACTCATATTGAATGGTATAAAAAAATCTATATGATTAAAATATGGTCCAGAAGTGGATATCCAAAAATTTCAAAAATAAAAATTGAATAAATTAATCAACGGAGAAAAAAATTGGCGTGAATATGTACGGTGAAACGCTCTGTATAAATATATACGTTGCAGCCTGCCGAGTTCCGACCACTGTTCCGTGTCTTCGATGTGATGGCCGATTTTATTAGCACACGTGCGCTTTTATTGCTGCGCTGTTCTCGCCGTCTATAAACAGGATGTGTATAATATTATATATACGTCGGTGAAGCACGAATACAGCTCTAACGCGCGATTGCACAAATAAAATGAGCAGATACCGCGCGCGTTCAAGCATTGCATTTATAGAAGATTGTAATATATCGTGTTAATAGGACGACGATCCATTATCGATTGGCACCAAAATCGAATTCCTCATTATAATAATACACGATCGATGACGAAATCGCACGAAACGCTGATTAAATTATATTTGTTATAGTGTATAACATATAAAATATGTACACAAGTATATAAAAGGTATACTTAGTATAAACAGAGGAATTTTCTCGTTTTACCCTGTGCATGTGTTTTTATTACTTTGTTTCCGTATGGATTTCAATTTAAAGTATTTAAACAAATATTTGGGTCAAACATAAAACAAAATGTATACATATAGATATAAAATGTTAAATCTACGCCGTGTATTCATATATATACGATTATACGAATATAAACATATAGGTATATACCGCTGAGTGGTGCAACAGTCTGTATATTATAATAATATAATAACGTCTCCAATTATATTTATCTATACAATATTTATAGAAAGTAATTTAATATATATATATAGTGTTGTTTAGAACTAAAAATATGTATTAAAAATTGTAATCGGTCCAATATCATATAATAATATATATTATACGATACTGTACACGTAGAATATATATACAAACAACACATACACACACACACATATATACATATATATATTCGTATGTCGATTGTTAAAATATATAATAGCCGCAATTTAATTTTATAAAAGCACGCATATACGCTTCGTTGTTTGTTTAAAATTCAAAATATACAAACGCTATTTGTTTCCAATATAAATAAAGTTCAATCAAACACGTCGCGATTCGTTTATAATATAATAATAAAAATTAGCATCCTTGATCTTTATAGTTTTTTTTTTTATACGGAGGAAGTACTCGTGTGCGTGTGTTATAAAAATGCGAATCGTTAATATTCGGTTTTTGTTATTGTTTACAGTAAAAACATGTCGTTTAATGGCACGTCGTAGACGAAATCAGAAAAACTTTAACATTTAATATTATTTCATACGGACAATAACATCGTGAACGTCTCTAATGTATTGTAAACAGAAATATTATAAAAACATATACATAGTATCGATTAGAAATTAGAAATAATGCACCAAAAGCCCGCGTATATCATCCAAATAATTTTACCGTGCAAATCAGACTTGTAGTATTACTGTATGTATATATAGTATAATAATTCTATGTTACATTGAAATATTATTTTATTTCAATACTAAAACTTGGATATTCTGCAGCTTTTATTGTCATGACAACGAGATTCAAAACATGCGGTCGACTAACTCTATTGTGTTGGACTATATAGATACGAAAATGTCCTTAGCGGAACTCCTTCTGCAGCTGAGTTCTTATATTGTACAATATATTCATATATGTAATACATCTACGTGAACTCGTGAACTCAATACTGCTTTAGGTTCATTCGTGGGTGTGTCATATCATTGTGATAATATGTATTTATAAAACATATAAAGACGACCATCGCAGCGACGCGCGTACTTATAGTTCGATTTCGAAAGAGCTCTCACTCGGCTGCGAAAATTCCAAAACGTATTTGCACGAACGAAAGTTGAAGTCGTCATCTCGAGATACATCGCGCGGCGTACATACAGTATAAACCTATAAACGCGCACGCGCAGACGTAACAACAATGTATAATATTATAATATTATATATAAAAATATAAACGCCGTATGGTGGCGGTCAAGACGTACCTATATAACACATAAAACGTTATATGACGGGTACTCGGTGTAGGACATTGGCCCTCGTCCTTCGCCGCTCGCATCACCAGAGGAGACGCGTGTGCGTATGTGTGTCCGGCCGGCCGCAGAGAAGAAAGTGCCGTTAACGACAACGACGACAACGACCATATAATAATATAGGAATATAATATTATTATTATCGTGCACATAGTCTGCCGCCCGCTGCTAGAATACCGAATCGACCGCGTGTGACGAGCATTTATAGTTTTTTTTCTCGTTGTATTTTTCTTTCTTTGATTTTCAATCATATATATATATATATATATATACTCGTTATCAAAGTATAATATTTTATACCTAAGGACTTAAATAGCTCTAAAAATTTAATCAAATATACATGCAGTTAAATACACCAGAAAATGACCAAATATATGTGTTAATAAATTGAAATAAAAATGTTTTGACTTGATTGTTGATATTTTTGTGTTATATTTATTTGTATTACTATTTTTTTTTCTTTTTAAATTATTATATCTCGCTCACATTATTATCATCCGATCTTTCAATGACATTAAAGTCATAGCATTGATAATAAATATTATGTAGAGTACATAGTGTATTTATAATCAACGGTCATAATATGACAAAATATATATAAATTATAAATGCCATTAAGAATCACATAGCTTTATATTGCATAAAAAGCACATAATTTCGGTTAAATATAGGGGTTTTAATTTTTCATTTGTGTTTATACATATTTGTTGAATGATCAAAGAAAAAACATTAAACGCTTAAATAAAAATAATGGGTAAATATGTGAATTTAATATCGTGTAAGGTACCTGTTGTGTGGTCCAATCCATGAAAAATGTCAATTATCATTTCATGTAGAATGAACGTTAAATAGTATAATTATCATAATTTTAAGGTTTTATTGTAGCCCCGCCATTTTGAGACGAATGCATAAATTTGTCCGAGAACTAAAAAAAGGTCATGTTTGCAAGTTGCGTA